TCTCGGGAGCTCCCTGACTGGGCCTGCTCAAATACCCTGCGTACTTTTGTAAGCTCTTGAGAGCTTTCTCCACAACCACCCTCGCTCTTAATGTTACTACCTAGCATGTTTCCCATTTTTTAATATGTTACTCACCGCGTGAGGCCCAAGGAATCCGCCACTTACGCGTGAGCCTGAGGGGAGTCTAAAAGCCCTGTAGGTGCGCGCCACCCAGAGCCCAGGCTTATCCCCAACTCACCTGTCTCGCAGCTCTGTACTGGAGCGTTGTCCGCTGTCACGTCTCGGGGGTGATCAGTCCCCGTGCGGGCCTCCAAATGTCGATGTCCGCTCCCGGCCGGCAGGAAGGACACACGACAAAGCCTGGCAGTGGACAACCTTTTCTTTTATTTTCCTTCTCCGTACAGCCTGCCCTGGGATCGCTCCCAGCCGAAGCCTCCTTTGGTCCGCTCCCCGCGGCTCCTTCTGGGCTTCTACTTCCGGGCTTCTTCTTCCCCCCCAAGGGTGGCACCAGTATATATACGGATACAGTGTCCAATCATGTTAAAGTAAGCAAGGCAAGCTGATTGGCTAACATCATCAGTTGCCAGGCAGACTATATTGTTGAGCGGGTTGCTTACGCGGTAAGCAGGAAACTAACGTGCTCGATGGGAGGGGTAATCTACCTCAGGCTTTACTCTTTACTACAGGCCTCACGTCCGCCAAGTGAGGCGACCGGGCTCGGGGCTGCGGCTCCCAACACTTGAGCAGTTCTCTCTCCTATCCTTGGGCTCTTGCCTACTTACTGGCATTGCTTTCTCACTTCAAAAGCCTAGCCACAGTGTATTCATCACATTTGCACACAGGTGCAGGGTAGTGGGAAAACTGGGTCCTCTAATGTGCATATTCCCAGCTGAGGTCCAACAAGACTGCTTCTCTTGGTCTAGCTCTCAAGCTCTTCACACGCATCCTTTTTGAGATCTATTTTTAAAGATAGATAGATAGATAGCATTTTAAAAAATTTTTTTTGTGTGTACTGGGAATTGAACCGAGGCCTTCGCACTGAGCTACATGTCCAACTCTTAGCTAATTCACTTGATTGGCTAGGTGGGACTCCAACTTTACATTCTCATGCTTTGGCCTGCCAGTGTGCTGGCATTGCAGGTGTTCCCTGGCATACCAGACTTCCTTTGTGGTCTAGTTTTTAATGCCATGTTCTTCCCAGTTGTGTGCTTTTGATCTTGATTTTGATGTTTAAAATGGCTCCTAAACACAGTGCAAGAGAGCTGTGATATCCATGCTTGGAAGAGAAATGAAGTAAGGTGGTAAACTCATTACAAAACAAAAGGGGCTGATGACCTCACTGCCATGCAGCAAACTGCTGCTCATCTCATCTCATTGGCCCAACCAGAAGCCTGAGCCCATTGTGAGCGACCTCACAATGCCCTGCCTGGTGCCTGGTCCACTGCTACAGTGCTAGTCCATCATGCTGACCACCGTGTGGCTGCTTCTCAGCCTTGGTGTCCCACTGCTGGGATTCTATACTCCTGTCAGCTGTCCTCAGGGCCAAAAATGTCAGCTGGCCCTGCTGTCTGATCATGATGTCCTCCTAGAGTGCCCCAATGGGAAACATTGGAAGTACTACTCTTTGACAAGCAAAGAAGTCCGGATCTTAGACTCTTCCACGATCTCCAACATAGAAATAACATCATGGGGCAATCTCGTCATTAACAAACCCCTGCCATCCCAATCAGGCTTCTATCACTGCTGGCAGGAAAACGTCACCCAAGTGACCCAGTTCGAGATTGACTTCCAGAACATCAACTTCCTGCATGTGACACACAAGAACCTGGACACGACTGCCTTGCTGAATGAAAGCCTGCATTTGGGAGCCAAACAGGTCATGTTTACTCGGTGGGAGCCTTGGCAGGACTGTGATCGCTGTGGAGTGCCTGGCGAGCGCAAGCGCCTGGGCTACTGCTACGTTGATGAGCCGCTGGAGGACCCCATCCCCTGTGGACTCTACCTGGGGGAGTCCCTGGGTTGGTTGTCCCGCATGCAGCCTGAGTTGCAGATAGAAGCCTGCTTCGTGGAATGTGACAAGAAGAAGCCATTTTCTCTATTTGGCTCTGTCACCTTTGACAACTTCATATTCAACGAGGAACAGGAATCTTTGTTTCTCTCCTGCCCCTTAACATCCATCTACAGGTGATGAGACCTACCTATCACTCCTGCCTCTGTTCCCAAGTCAGCTGGCCCAGTAGGGGCCAGGGGTGGGGGTTCTGTTTAGGCACTACACAAGCTCTTTGGTCATCAAGATAGTTCCAGGCCTGCTTTTCAGGAAGCCCAGTCCAAGGAGGAGATACCCGGAGTGCTCAGAACTGGAACACAAGGAGCTTGGGTGGAGTGATGGGCTGTGGTGGGGAAGCTCAGAAGTTGGGGCATCCTGAGAGACTGTTGCTGCCTCTGGAAGACTCTGAAAGGTCCTAGAGGAGAGGATGGTGACCCTGGAGTTCGTGTTCATGGGCTGCTCTCCACCTGGAGCCCCTGAGAGTCTCCCCTTGACTTCCTGTCCCCACCCCTTGCCTTGCCCCATCAGGTGCCATACCAGGGCCTGAACAAACTGTGTCTGTGCACAGCACCCTGTCCCACATCACTCTCCCTGTCCAGGGCTGTGAACTCAGGGGAGGCCTATGTCATAGAAGGGGAAACGGGCTTTGGAGAGTGCAGTTCTCGCCCAAGGGACCCATGGTGGGAAGTGGCGGTACAGACCTTAGATTCCACATACCTGACTGTGAGTTCTCTAACCCTTGCTGCATGGGACACTGCTAAGGTGGTGCTAGGCAACCTCTGGCCCTCGGCAGCCACATGCTGTATGGAATCTGGCTTCACCCCTTCTATTGAGCTTCCTTCTTGTGTAACCCAGCCATGACTTTTGTTCCCTTCTCTGTCACTCTGTGTGTTTCTCCCTAACTTCTCCACCTCCTTCATCATTAAGTAGAAAAGCAACCTGTTCCCAGAAAGTACTGAAATTTGAAAGTGAAAAAAGGAAGCCTGAACCCCCTTGCATCTCTATGGGGATGCCTAGTGCATATTACATCCCTCAGGAGCTCTCCTGCGCAAACCACAGGGAACACAGGATAAGAATGGGGGGACTCGTGGAAGAATCTAAGGGTACCTTGCTCCTCCTCCTCCTCTCCCTCCTCTTTCTCCTCCTCCTCTTTCCTCCTCTTCTTTTTTCCCCCCATTTAATTTAGACAATTTATTTTCTCACTATTCTGGTGACTGGCAATCAGATGACTTTTTTTTTTTTTTTTCCCTGTGAGAGGTGCCGTGCTTCTGTCTGAGAAGCTGCGGCAGGAGTCGCATTCTTTTTTTCTTTGTCATTATATAACCTAAGCTGGCCTCGAACTCACAGCAATTATCCTGCCTCAGTCTCCCAGGTGCTAGTGTAACAGCACATACCGCCATGGTCAACAGGAGTGGCTTTTTTTTTTTTTAAACAAAGACTTGCTGTGTACTTCAGGCTAACCTTGAACTCACTATATAGCCCAGCCTGACCTGAAAGTCCTGGCAATCCTCCTGCCTCAGCCTCCTGAGTGCTGTGATTACTGGAGTATGCCACCATGCCCAGCTAGAGTGGCATTTCATGTGAGGTTTTAGACCCAGTATTTTCTTGGGTTCCAACCCCATCTCTCCCTCTTTCCAGCTGTGTAACTTTGGACCTATGGCTTTCCTCTGGGCCTGTTTCCCACCTGTACATTAGGACTGTGTTTCTTTCCTAGGGCTGCCAACACAAAGAACCACAAACCAGGTGGCTTAAAACAACAAAAATGTATCTGGGCACCACTCTGGAGTCTGAAAGTCAGTGTCGATATGGCTGTGGTGCCTCTCAGGTGCTGGGTGGGACCCCTGCTGGCTTCTGTAGCAGTGGAGGACCCTTGGCCTTCTTTGTTTGGCTTGAGGCTGCCTCACTCCTCTCTCTGTTCCATTGCTTCACTTGGCTGCCTCCCCCCCCCCCGCCCGCATCTCCACATCTCGATCCCTTCTCCTTCTCCCCTAAGACACCAGGCACACTGCATCTAGGAGCAGCTGTCCTGATAGCCCCTCGTTGTAACCCAGTTACACTTGTAACAGTCCAATTTCCAAATAAGGTTCCATCCTGAGTTCTGGGGAAGACATGAGTTTGCAGGGACCACTACCCAACTCAGGACAGAAGTCTCCTTCACCATGGCCTTTGGGGTCATCGTGATTAAGAGGGCAAACGACAGTCAAGTGCCCACAGTGTCTGGTCTGACATTTGGTCCCACACTGTGTGTAGGGGTCAGTTACTGCTTTTGCGGCTTTTGACCTTGTCCCAGTGCTGGTCAGTGAGGACCCTCCCCCCTACCCACCACCCATTAGTCATTATATTTGCCCTCCTTGTTTCTATGCTCAGCACTATTCTGGGTACATGGACACAGTACAGGACAGAAATGACCAGCATTCCTGCCCCCAGGGAGAGAGCAAATGTATTTTAGATGGTAATAAAGGCTAATGAGAGTAAAGAAGATTGCAACTGTGAACAGGCAGGTCAGGGAAGGCCTCCCTGAGAAAGAGCCATTTGGGGCAAGAGTGAAAGTGGTGGAGAGCTGCATGCACTGAGGAACAGCATTCCAGGCAGAGGGCACAGCCAGGCAGGAAGTCCTCAGGCAGGACTGTGTCAAGCATACCTGGGGGCTGCCTAGGACACCAGCATGGCTGGGCAGAGTGAACAGGACTAGCACGTCACTCAGGGACTGTTCTTTCTCATTCTTCCAAATAGGCTCCTGAGGAGATGGGTGCAATCACTGCCCTCTTCTAACAGGCAAGGGAGTAGAAACCGAAGGAGCTGAGTGGTAGAAGCACACCGTCCCCACCTTCCCCTCCTAACTGCCAGACTGTGTAGTGACTGCCAGAGCAGAGAGGCCACCGTCTCCACTACCCTTCTGATATAGTCCCCCTTTTCCCTCGGTAACCAGCAGCTGACTTTGTCTCCCTTGCAGGCCCGTCAGCTGGGAGGCTGACAACATCCCCTTGACTTGGCAGAATGAGCTGTCAGGCAAGAATTTCAACAGCTCCCTGGACATCGTCTCGGGAGGTCGGCTGCTGCAGGTCTTCCAGCCAGCCACTTACAGGTGCTTCGTGGACCAGGAGTTTGTAGCCCAGTTCAACCCCAGTTCAACTCCAGTGGAGTCCCTGGAGCTGGTGGGCCCTCAGATGAGAAAGCACAAGACCCAGGCCACAGCCCGGAAGGCACATTCCTTTTCCCTGAAGTTGAAGCTGCTGCTGATGGTAGGCACATCCTTGGCCTTGGGGCTGCTGCTGTTCAATGCCCTCTGCTCTCTCCAAGGCAAAAACAGAAACCGGATGCTGCTGGTGAAATAAAACAAGCCCTCCAGGCCCCAGTCCTGGCCTCTTTCCCTTATTGCCTCTCTTGTCCCCCCATGTGGCTCCTGCTCCTTGCCTAGGCCAAATGGCCTTGTGAAAAGTTGTCTGAGCTGGGAGGAGAGCTGAAAGTGACTGAGCCCTCCCTGTTTCGACTCTGGTGTGCTCAGCCACTGGGAATCCCCACTGCACAGAAGAGGACCCCAAGGCAAGGCTGGCTAGCTGCTGGCAGGCAGAGCTCCAGCTGTAACCAGCCAGTGCAGCTCTGGCCATGCTCCTCAGGGGGAGACGGCAGGAGCCCATTCTCTGGGTGGGGCCAGTGATAGTGTTGAAGGAAAATTCCCAAACTAAAACCGTGCTGAATGGAAGACTGTGCACTGAGGAGATAAAGAAAGCAGCGTTTAATCCTTACACCAGCGGACTGTCGCACGCTAATTCCACAAAGGCAACAGCCTGAATTAGGGAGGAGTTTAGTCTACCTAGTATTTAGAAGTGGGAGGTACAAAGCAAGTGACCAAACATTACATGATTGGATGCATGCATTAGATCATATGTTGACAGACAGGCTAGTCTTGAAACAATAGAAATATCCTGGGAACAAGGGGAGTGAGCTCTTACAGAATGAGCACAGTTAAGCCCAGGGTGCCTTAAGGTATAGACAGTTACTGTGACTTAATGCTCATTGGAGCTAGCTGCTGGGCTGCAGACGCTGACAAGGTCAACTGAATTTAGCACAAACAGCAGAACAGTAACTTGGTCAGAGACCTCTAATTGACTATGAAATATCTGTAAGTTTGCTATTTTACACAAGTATTCTTACGTTATAATTTTGCCCAACAGTAGCCCCCTCCCTTACCTCGGCCCCCTAAGTAGAGATGTGTGTGTATGTGTGTGTGTGTGTGTGTGTGTGTGTGTGTGTGTGTGTGTGCGCACACATGCGCGTGTGTGTGCGCATGTGTATGTGCAGGTGGGTGAAGCTCCAAACCCAACCCCCAAGTCTGTATAGGGCTCCTTACCTTTCCCTTGCTCCACTCTTCCCCATCCATGCTGAGGACTTCAGGCCCAGCCATAACTCCCCAAGTTAGGGCCCAAAGTCTCCTGGACACCTGTCTCCCTGCTCTTGCAAGGGAAGAAGCCCCATCAGTCCCTCCACTGAGAAAGGTCCCAGGTCTGCCTCAGCAGATCCCCCACCAAGCCTGGCTGTTCCCAGAAATGACACACACTGCTCAGCAGAGTATAGAGTAAGGAGTGAAATATTAATGCCTTTTAAAATTCATTGCCCCACATTTCCACTGTGAAGAGGGGACGGGGCCGATGGGAAATTCTCCCAAAGCAGAGCTGGGCTCTGGAGAACAAGGTAGAGCGTACCCCTCTGAACCTCACATGGCACCAGCAACCTACCTGAGGCCTCACAGCTTGAGAAGGATCAGAGAGGGGGTAGGAAAAGGAGATCTTTGTCCCCTTCTCCTCTTCAACCCCAACCCATGTCCCCTAGCCCCATTTTACGGGAACAAGTACCTACCCCACCCAGCCCTGAAGGTCCCAGGACCCAAAGCTGAGGCTGTCTGCCCACCGTGGCAGCAGCCCCAAAGGTAACCCCAATGACCTCCCACCTCCTGGTATCCACACCTTTCCATCATCCACTCCATGTCAGGGTGGACTTCTGACCAGTAGTGTGTGGACAGTGAGGTTGAGTTATCACTCTCCTGTGATTAGCAGGTTAGAGCAGAGTTGCACTGACGACATAATGTTTGGATAAGTGGTTCTAAAGGCCCATGTGTTAGAAGTTTAATTCTCAACTCATGATGCTATTAGAAGGTGGTAGAACCTTTAGGAGGCAGGTGTAATGGAAGGGAGTTAAGTCATTGGATGTGTGCCCTTGAAGGGAATATTGGGACCTGGCTCTTTTCTTGGTCCATCTCTGTTTATTTCTTTTTGCTTCTTGGATACCATGATGTGAGTAGGTTGCCCCACCATGGACTCATGCCATGATGCAACTGAACCAACCAACCAAACATGGACTGAACCTTCTGAACCTGTTTCCTCCCTGTAGTTTATCTCAGGTATCTTCTTACAGTAACAAAGCTAATGCAGCAGTCATATTGAGAAAAACCCATGTGGCAAGGAGCTGTAGGTTGTAGGGACTCCTGTAGCAGCTGGGACCTAAGTATGTCCTCCAGCCAGCAGATATCCCAGAGCCTCTATCTCACAATCAGAAGGAAGTGAAAGTAAATCTGCCGACAGTCAGTGGAGCTCAGGAGCAGGTTCTCCTCCAAGTGGAACTTCAGACGAAAACAAAGCCCTGTCAACACGTTTAGGAGTAGTTTGCGAGACCTGGTAGGGGACCCAAGTGTGCCTATCTGTGCTCCTATCCACAGAAACTGTGAGGTTATAAATGAGTGCTGTTTTAAGACACTAGATTTGTGGAAATTTTTCATGCAGCAACAGACAACGTATTATAGCAGTCTCTAAGACAGACTCTGACCAAGAACTTCAAGATCATGAGCTCATGACCTATTCATGAGCATTCCAAATGACTCTTATTTTTCATAGGAGGAAATCAAGTCCCAAAGAGATAAATTCCTTTGCTCATGTATACAACATTAATTGTGTCAGTTATGGCTGCAAAGTAGATATCCCTGAAATCAAGAGATTTTAAGTAAACGCTATTGTTTGTAAGTCTCCGAAGAGACTGGGAAATTCTGGCCTCATTCACGCTTTTCTGATCAGCTGTGAGCTGAGGTGGCTCTGGTGATCTTGGCTGTGGCTCATTTGTTCGGGAATCAGTCCCCTGTAGGTTGGACTAGACATCATCGGATGGGGAGATTGAGATCTCCTACAATGGTCACTCTTACTCCAGCTGCCAACCCAGGCTTGACCACAAGGGGGTGACAGTGGTCTAAGGAAACAAGAGGAAGTTGCAAGGTCAGGCGAAGTCCAACCCCCAAACCTGCACTTTGTCTCCAGGGACTAAACTGCGGAGGCCTCTGCTTGCCGTGGGACCTGAAGGTCAAGGTTTCAGGAGGACTCTGATGTGTCAGATGCCACCCCAAACTCAGTGGCTAAGAAACAACATTGCTGTGTTTCTCTTTCCATTCTGGAGGTTAGCAGTGCAGACTAGATAGTAGTTCTTTGGTCCTACTGTGCCCTTTACACTTCTGTGGTCATCTCAGGATGGCTGAGGGGCTATGCGTCAGGGGGCTGCATGGCAGATGGTGGGGAGCCTCCAACGTCCCACCGTCCAGCAGGTACAATATGGCATCACGGTCCCAAACCAGGAGGCCAGGTGGCCGGCTCACCTCTCCCCTTCTCTACAACCTCTACCTTCTTATCTGTGTTCCCTGCGTATTATCTGAGCTCCACTCCACCCCACCCCACTAACCTTCCGTATTAGTCAAAATGCATTTAATGACTACGTGTAACAGAAATTCAGGCAAAGTAGTTTAAGCTGAGAAGGAGTTTATGACCTCTTATCATTGGGAAGCTCAGGGCTCTGTCCTACTTCAGGCACAGTTAGAGCCAGGTGTTCATGCAACATCATTCAAAGTTGTCTCCCTCCATCTCTATTTTTTTCTGTGTTGCCTGAATCCTCAAGCAGATGCTTCCCAGTGAGACTTGTGAGACAGACAAACAGCAGGCATCTAGGCTGGAGCCTCAAACAAACCAAAATGGGCCCTGGAAAAATTAAAACACAAAGAAAAGGAGGGTCGCTATTCAAACATCAATCACATTGGCAACCGTATTTTTTCAAAGGACAAGGGCCTGGGTAAAATGAGATGAGCCCTGGGAAGCTGGGGTGCAAGGGAAGTCTCCTCCTCCTGATGCCAGAAGCCTGGCCAAAAGCTGCAATCACACTGTTTCCTTATTTCCAAGATAGTCCAACAAAGTGTAGATAAACCCCTACCTAAACTTGGGCACCTCTCAGTACCCTCTCTTGGAGCCCTTCTTGGTTAGCAAGGGATTTTCCTTGTTCTTTCTGATAAACCACACATAGTTCATTCCCCACTGCTGCATCCCTGGACTTTATTCTTCAGCATCCTCAGGACAAGAGCCCAGAGGGAGGAGACAGTCGGTTCCACCATGAGAAGATGAACTGGCCTCCAGCAGGCCCAGCATTACTTCACAGCAACCTCCTAGAAGGAGAGCACTTTTTAAAAAATGAAGTTAGAGATGGAATTCAAGACCCTGTACATACTTGGCAGATGCTTTCCCATTGAGCTACACCCTCAGCCTCAAAAGCCCCTTTATTAGAACAGCAGCATTATCGATGTGGCAAAAATAACGGGGTGTTTACTGTGTGCCAGCGCTAAGTCCGTGGCAGATGTTAATTTATTCTCATCAAGATATTATAAATAAGAAACACACCATTTTACAGATGATAAAACTGAGGCATAAAGCAATTAAATCCATGGATTATAAGTGGCAGGACTGAGAGTTGCTTGCTTTTAATCTCCCCAGAGATTTAGTAGAAAAACAGTAATAGTAGCAAACCCTCATTCAGAACAGATACTTGACTCTATTAGGAGTGTCAGGAAATTATCATCCTCTCTTAGTTGCTTTCCTGAGCTGGGACAAATTGCCCAGTGCCCACAGTTTAAAGGAGGAGAGGATTTTTTGGCTCACAGATAGAACTCATGATTGGGCGGCTCCTGGGCAGAAACAGCGTAGTGGAGGAAAGCTGCTCACGTCACAGCAGCCATGAAGCAGCGAAGGGTCGAGCCTGGGAGGGGGACATAGGCTTCCAGGGCACACCCCTTCTGACCAGACCCTACCTCCGATAGGCCAGCTCTATTGCCCTATGATCCAGTCACTTCCGTAACTCCCATGGGTGAGACCACAAGGTCTCTGGGGAACATCACTAGTCCAAATGAGCCTTAATAGTTGTGATTCATTCAGTTCCTCCAGCAGCCCTGTGAGGGGACACTGTTACCATCTCCATTTCACAGATGGGGGCAGCTGGGCCTTGAGCTCAGCATAGGTGTGGAATCTGCATCTCCTGCCCCCACATCCCAGTCCTGAGCCAGGAACAGAGCCAGCCTCGGAGAGCTTCATGGAGTGAGGTGGGTGAGGGTTCCCAGAACAGGACAGCCCAGCACTCTAGTGGCTCCGTGCCCGCCTCTCCCTCTGTCCACCACCACCCCAGGGCACAGATTTCCCAGGGCCATCTGTACACAGACTGACCCAACACTGGCTGGGCAGAAGGGTGAACCCAGGCAACCAGGCCAGCGGCCAGGTCTGAGTCACTGGGCAGGGTCAGGCCAGGCTCCTGAGTGGCCAACGTGGGCCTGCACCACAGAAGCATGGCCTGGGAGAGGCGACAGCTGCTGTGGGCAGCTGAGGCTCCTTCTGAGTCCTGGCTCAAGTGCTTGCATGTGACTGTGACCTTGACACCCAGCAGACCCTCACCAACCAGTCCTTACCCACTGTCCTGACAGGAAACCTGGGCAAGCTACCAAGTCATATTTAACACATTTATGAGAAACCAAGACACGGCTATTTTGAGCCGTTGGTTTTGTCTGCCAAGTGCAAACTGGGTACACGTAATGGCATCTTGCGAGTGGAGAGCCACCTGCTCCTCACAGAGGCAGCGACTCACTTTGCTGCATGGATTTTTCGGGATCTCATGCTAACCTGTGTCTGGTGGGGAGGTGGCCCACATTTTGCAGTGAGGACAAACGGGTCATTACTCACCAAATCTCACGTCCAGAACACAGCAGGGCTGGGAATAGAATTCAGGGGCGCTGACTGCCCAGCCGCATGTTTCCTGCCCTGACATCAACCGCTTTCGGGACTAACCCTGGAAATCTCTGGAGCATTCTCTCTACTTTGCACTTTGTTCTTCTTCATACTTATTTCATTGTCTTCCTTTTCTCTGCTACTGAAGGTTTTCTTCTTGTCTCTTCATTCCTGTTCTTTGTCCATCTTTCTTCCTTTGCTTTGTCTTGGTAACTCCGCCCCCCCTTTTCTCCTGTCCTCTCCCCTTCCTTTCCCTCTTTTTTTCTCTTTTTAAGATGGAGTCTTGCTGTGTTGTCCAGGCTGGTCTCAAATTCCTGGGCTCAAGAGACACTCATGCCTCAGCCTCCCAAGTAGCTGCAACTGCAAGTTCACGCTACCATTCCTGGTTCTTGGTGGTTGTTGTTGTGGTGGTGGTGGTGGTGGTGGTGGTGGTGGTGCTGGTGAAATGCGGTCTCACTATGTAGCCCAGGCTGGCCTTGAACTCACAGCAATCCACTTGCCTCAGCCTCCCTAGTGCTGGGATGACAGGTATGTACTGTCATGCCTGGCAGTTCATTTTTAAATCAAAGCCATAATCCTACTTCTCACAATGGCTAATAACAGAAAGGACTTGACATGTGCCCCATCTCCTCCACATATGAAAATTCATCTGGCCTCAATCAATTCCCCATCAATGCCATTATTATCCCTCCCCATTTTACAGGTTTTGCCAGGTAACGCCCACAACAATTAGATGACCTGGTGGCTCCTCCAGGTAGATGCCCTGTATGTGGGGGGTTCACATCGCTCCTGCCACTCGTGTCCTTAGCATTCCTGCAGCTGGTGTTTCCATCATTGGAGCTGAAATTCAGGTGAGGGCCCCAGAGACTCCTCAGCATATTGCTCACCTTTGGGGACCTGAAGTTTCACTGTTTCTTGCTTGGCAGTAATCTTTGTGGTGGGAGGTTCACAGAGGGGTTCCCAAGACAATGGCCTTGCACAGATGGGATCACCTCTCTGTACTTCTGTTTCATATGTGTGGTGAGAGCCGGACACCCACTCTGAGTGCATTCTCCTTGCAAGGGGACAGAATGAAACAGCCTGGGGGCTTCACTCCCCTCAGTCCCTGGTCTGGATGGAGCAAGGCTTCCCAACACGCCCCACTGCGCTTGCTGGAGCTATGCACATTCAGCCCCAGCCTTGCACTAGGCACAGCCCTTCCCATGAGGATCTGCCCAAGTGGCCAACTCCGGGGCTCCTGGGTGGGAGTCCTCCCTGCAGACAGTGCGTCTGAGCCCTGCTCAGATGTTCTGTAGAAGGGATGGGGACACTTACCAAGAACAGACATGGTGACACTCAGGTCACATAGGAGGAGCCTTCCAGATTCCAAGTTTTTGGCTTGTAGCCTCCTCCATCCAGACTGGCCGGCCTGCTGGCTTTGCCACTGTGCCCACCACTCTATCTCTTCCCTGTCCCCTACTTCTTCCCTCCAGAGATGAGCAGCAGCCCCAGCTTCTGCTGTGAGGCTTTTCTTCCTGAGATCATTATGCCAGTCTTGTGATTCACCAGTGTGACCCGCAGAATCATTCTCTGTGACTTCCTGTCCTGATTCATACTGTGCTCCTTTCCACATAGCAACATAACAAAGTGGAGATCTGCTGGTGGGGGTTCCACAGACCAGAAGCCAGCAACTGCCTCAGGGCATGGCAGTAAGGAGAAAATGGATTAACAATTTCACAACTGGTCCTATGTCCCCAACCATGCTGCGGTGCGTGCATCATTATCCCGTGCCTGACTGGACCACTTCTCCCACCTGTGGTGCAAGCCACAGACAGGACAGTCGTGCAGGTACCACTGGTGGTCAAGCCGGTGGGAACAGGTTAATCCATGCTAACCACTCGGAGTCGAGGGCTGTGCTGGAGACCGTTTTTACCATAAGGATCAGCACCGCCGTTTGGGGGTCTGTGCTAGCTGTTTGAGTAACGGAATCTCCATTTCTTTTTGACTTCCCACTTCCTCAGCCTGCAGTGTGGCCTCAAGGTCTCGAGCCACTGAGGACCACTTCCTTGGGACACAGCAGCAAGACACAGGATCTGGTCCAGTGTCACTGAAACACTGCAGATTTCTGCCTGGTTGGAACGAGAGTGTTTGCGGCTCTGTCCCAGCAGTGAGCCATGTAGACTTCTGACCATGTAGAGTCTGCCATTTGCAGCTGCAGGTTCCATACACGTGTGGGTTCAAACAACTAGGTATTGAAAACATTTGGGAAACAAACTGTATCTGTACAGCGCCTGTGCAGACTCTTTTCCCTTGTCCTCACTTCCTAAACAGTACAATGGAACAGCTATTTACACAGCATTTCCACTGCGCTAGGTATCTAGAGACGTGAAGGACATGGGAGGCTGTGTTAGGTTAGATTACAGAGTCGGTACCGTTTTACAGAAGGGACTCGAGCGGGCAGCGAGCAGTGTCAGATTTTAAAACTGAGAGGGCTCTGGAACAAGTTGCCTGGCTACCAAGGGATGACTGGATAGGCTTTTTAAGGTAGGATGGAAGAAATAAAAGGCAGGTAGAGAAAAGACAAGAAAGATCATAATTTTACTGTACAGAGGCCTGTACTTTTAAGAAAAATTGTGAGCATCCATTCAGGACTCCTCCTGTCTCTCAGGAACTATTCCTGTCCCCCATTTCTATTCCCATATACATTTTCCTAATTTTTAAATTTTTAATTTCTTTTAAATTTTCCTACTTTTAAAACCTCTGTTGCTCTTTAGAACTCATTCTCCGACTTCAGGGGACAGGAAGTTGGTATATCTGACATCTAGCATCTCCCCTATGGCAAGGAGAAAGTAGAAGACAAGAGAAGGGGACAAGACAGGAGGGGTGTGTATTTAGGCCATGGAGGGCTGACTATGCACAAAGTACATATATTACACACAGTGGGGCCGCCCCCAGAAATGTTAGACTAGGGGAGAGCAAAAGGAGAGAAAATGATCAAAGTGTGTTCACTGCAAGCATCAATCTGCCAAAATAAAATTCATTAATCTGTACAACCAATAAAATAGCAAACCAAAAATAGAATATGAGGTTCAAAACAAATTGCAACCTCAGGAAATCAAATTACCAAGGCTCCTCTGCTTTTACCCCCCTGCCCCAGGAAGCTCACTCTCCAGGTTGCTGAGCCCGAGAGGTCCAGCGGGCCTGTGAACTGGGCCAGCCTGCGCCCACCTCCTGTGCTGAAGACTGACAAATGCCACTGAGCTCTGCCCTCACGGAAAGGAAACCATTGATGGGTGCCCCCCACCCACAAACGCAAAGGATTTGCATTTCACAGTAGCTCGCTAACCACAGCTTAGAGCCTGCATCTCGAGCTCACAGCCAAGGCCACAGTGCACAGCTCGCTTGCACACTTGCACACTTGCACTCCATTTGCTCTGAGTATGTATTTCTTTGATTGTGCCTAACAAATCTGCTTAGGTCTCTCGCCGACATGCCCTGAAATTGTTTCTGTGATACGAGCTAGCAACCCTACTGCCTACTCTCTGAGTGGGGGACGAGTTGAGCTCCCCGTCTTCTCTTTAGGGACCCTCCTTGGGCCCTGCCTGGTGACATTTTTCCTCCCAATTTTTTAATTATGAAAACTTTCAAATCTATAGAAAAAAGCTGAATGAATGTTTCTATTACAGTCACACATTCACCACGTAAATGTTCTAATGAACATTTTTCTTGTCTTATTCTAGCACATCTATTTTCCAGCCTTCTGTTTATTCATCTGTTTATCTGATTCATTTGATGTGTTTTAAAGTGAAGGATTTTAAAGCAGACCTATTCTTTGCCCCTGGGATGACCTTAATTAAATCTTGTAGTTGGTAGCTATAGTTAATTCATGGCTTACTTCTATATTATGGTCCCCATAGTCACACATAGCAGGGAAACAGGGACTCTACAGGCAGACGGTGAGGACAATCTCCAATCCACTGGTGCAAGCAGGGACTAGCCATAGTATTACATTCCTGCACTGTGCTAGTTCACCTATCAGTCATCCTGGGCATATGATAGAAGATGCTACTGGCTGCAAGTAAAGGAAGAACAAATTCCAAACATCTCACAAAGTTTATTATTTCACAAAATATAGTTCTGCAAAGGTAAGGAGGCTCTACAGTGGTCAATGCATGGATTCAGTAATGTCCTCATGGACTCATTCCCCGTGGCATCTTGGCAGTGTCATCCCTCATGGTGGCAACATGGCTGCTACAGTTCCAGCCATCAGTTCCTGTAAATGCAAAACACTACAACTTTATGCTTCCTTCTGCTAAAATTGTATTCTGCTCATTCTTTTTCCTTCCTTTAAGTGTTTAGATTCTCTGATTTTGTTTTTGATACTAATGAGATTTTAGCTCGATGATTATGGGCTGTTTTGAGTGCTATTGAAAGAAATTACAGAAAGATGAGAAGAAAAATTATCTCTGTCATTGCAGCTGCAGAAAACAGACATTTCTCAGCATCACAAAACTCTTCTTGCAAATATTCTTCTCAGGCCACAACTTCAAAGATCATTGATACATCTTGTGAAAGGAAACTTTAACTTTCCGGAATCTGTAATTAAGATTTGCTGTCTTAGTTAATAACCTACTGCCCCTGGAATAATACGGAAATTGGCCCGTACACTCTGAAAAGGATAAATATTTGTGAGATTTTTTTCCTTTGTTAAGCCAGAAGAATGCTATTACTACCCCTCTTCCCCACACAGATGGAAGGAAAGAGCAAACACATGACTGTTATAGATCTGTTTTAGACCAACAGTTTGAAAGAGACTACTTTCATGCTAATTTGTGCCTCCTTTAATTGCCACATTTGCTTTGGAGGGGCGGAGAAGGCAGTTTTTTTCTGTTGCATTATTTTTCAACAGTAGAAACACCCTCCCCTCCCCCAAGGCCTCCCGCGCATGGGTCCCTCAGGGATTTTCCCCTCATCTGTCCTTGGTCCAAAATGCGCCACAGCTCTTTTTGAGGGCCAGTCCCTATTTAACAAGGAGCCAGGAAAATGCAGCTGGCTTTGACCTCACCAAGGCTGAGGCTGCTTTTCCTGAGTACATGGCTAGAGTTAAGCCTAATAAAGTGAAAAGGAAGAGTAAAGGAAAATGGATTTGCTTATTAATAATGCAAATGCCCAGTTCCCCGCGGCTGGCTCCCACTTCAGTTCTGTTCTTCTGTCTCAGGCTGCACAAAATCAATACTCAAGTTATCTCAGAAGTGAAGCCTGTGCAAGGGGCGGAGAGAGGAAATGCCTGCCCATATAACCCCAGAGTAAAGTTCCTGCTCATCTTTGAGGTTTTACCATCACTCGGGCTTTCTGTCACAAGAGACTGAAACCCAAAACAGCTTAAGCTCAAAGGGAATTTATTAGTTCTTATAATGGAAGGTCTGAGGGAGTTTGGATTTCAGATATGGCTGGATCCAGGTGCTGAAACAATTCACTGAAGACTGAGCCTTTCTCAGGCTCACAGGTCTGCTTTCTTGAATGTTAATCTAGTATACGTACAGATCCTCTCTTCCTGGGGGGCAAGGATGGGTCCCAGCAGCTCCTGCCTTCAGCATATAAGTAACTAAGGCAAAACAGAAACTCTCTTTCCTAAGCTTTCCAGCCAAAGCCCTACAGCTGTGTGTCTCTGGCTCAACCTGAGGGATGGTTCATGAATGGCCATGGGGGATGAGATTGGTCCTGCCCAAAGCACGCAGACTTAAGAAATGGGAAGCTTAATTCTGAAAGAAAAAACAGAAAAGCGAAATGAAAAAGGAAAATAAATCCTGTCAGGCTAATCTATATCTCACAGACAGAGAGCAATCCTGGGAGCCCTGTACTGTCCTGTTTCATCAGGAGGAAAATTACCCGGCAAGGAGGATGTCTGCAGGGCTAAATTATCTGGGCATCTCCAAGGAGGCAGCATTGGAAGCACAGCCTTAAGAAATGAGAATTTGCCTTTACTCCTCTTCTTTGTAGGCACCTGGAAGGGCAGAAGACCCAAGACAAATCAGTCTGTGATGGGCAGGCGGACGCAAGTACGCATGTATAAATAAATGCATGCATGAGTGAATGAATGAATGAATGCCTATAGGAAGGGAACGTGTGCACAGGGCCCCACCTCCCTCCTCAGGAGGAGCCCAGGAGCCCTGTGGAATGAAGCTGGAGCTGGACTGTAGGCTTTGCTGGGGAAGAGGCAAGGGCAGATAAGGCCTGCAGGAAGAGTGTGTGGGAGAACCCAGAGAGGCTGCCTGGGCTTGGGCCGCAGGCGTGAGCAGCCTGCTGGCTCTTCCTGTTCTGAAGGCTTCAGCACCTACAGGCCCTCTCCAAACCTCCTCAACCCTCCTTCCCCTCCCCTTTCATTCTCACTTCCTCTTTCTGCCCCTCAGACACACATAGCTCCTTCCCACCTCAGGAAGCACCTGTCCCCAGGAACTTCTGAGTCTGGGTCCCCCTCAGCCCTCAGGCCTCAGCAGGGTCCCTCCTCAGAGAGGCTCTCCCTGACTGCCTTGAGTTACCAGTCCTGCCCCTAGCTTTTCCTAACCACACAACAAGCCCTGCTTCCTCTCTCTTGCAAACTGTTAGCTTTGTGGAACTGTTATGTCGCAAGTGTCATCACAGTGCCCAGCACAAACTCTTGCTTAATTTCATTTTTTAAAAAAATACTGGTTATGCCGGGCATGGTGGCTCACACCTGTAATCCCAGCACTCGGGAGGCTGAGATGGGAGGATTGTTGGGAGTTCGAGACCAGCCTGGGCTACAAAGTGAGCTCAAGGCCACCCTGAACTGCATAGCAAGACCCTGTCTCAAAAAAGACCAAAAAAATTTGTTTTTAAAATACTGGTTTTGACTATGTCAACTGGTCTCATGACCACTAGTGAATCATTAAGATTAAGTTACTATACATTAGAAAGTGTGTTTTATAATATTTAAAAAAGATAGGCATATGGTGCCCACAGAATATTCCTTTCTTAGCCAGTTTTCTGGGACTGTAACCAGAACCTGGCTAAATAAAGTACCAGAATCTGGGTTTTATAAGGGAAATAGGTTTATTTACCTCCATGTTTGTAAGCACATGAGCATGGCAATCGGTACCTGCACATATCTGCAAGGGAAAAGCAAGTCAAAGAGAGCTTGCCATTGTGACAAAGCCACTCCTGACAAAAGCCATTCATCTCCTCACCCTTGCAGGCAGAGCCCACAGGACCCAATCACCTCTCAACAACTCTCCCATGATGCAGACTATTCTTCAACTTGAATTGGAGTGGGAGCTTCCAAAGCGTAGCAGTCCCCCCTGGTCTCCCAAAACTCATAGCCTTCTCACATATGAAATGCATTTAACTCAGAAGTACAAAGTGTCACCTAAGACTCAAGGCAAAGTCCTAGTTATGAACACGTAAAAATCAAGACAAGTTATTTACTTCTAGTTCACAAGGGTGGAGCAGGCATGAAGAATCTTCTGTGATTTGGTTTGAATGTGTCCTCCAGGAGATCACCTGTTAGAGGCTGGGGCCTCAGGGCAGTGGTGCTGAGGCAGCGGGGCTTTAGTAGGTGGAGCATAGTGGGTCACTGGGGGTACTGCCCTGAAAGGGATTAAGTAGTACTTGTGGGACCCCACTTAGTTCTCAAAAGATTGAGTTATTATGAAAAGAACAAGACCAACCCCTTCCTTCACCCCAACTTCCTGTCTCACTATGTGATCTGATCTGCTCTCTTGCACGCATCCTGCTGTGATGATGCCATCTGTTGTGAAGCCTTCATCAGGACTGAACAGAAACTGCAACCATGCTGTTGAACTTTCAGAATGATGGACCAAATAAACCTCTTTGTTTATAAAGTACTGAGTCTGAGGTATTTTGTTATAGTAACAAAAAACAGATAATAAACATTATAAAAGGAAGCAATAGACAATAAGAAAGGGGTTCCAGGCCCTAAGCAAGTCTGAAATGCAGCAGGCCAGATGTCAAAAGGTAAAGGTCCATATCTGGTATGTTGAGCCCACAGAAATGTAATGGCGTGGGTCACCAAGGACTTAGACAACCCTCTACCTGTTACCGTGGTGGATGTGGCCCATGCTTCTTCCCTCATGGGTGGCATCCTGGTGCCTGCAGCTCACCCAGGCCAGCTTTGCAGGCTGCTAGTGGTTTCAGGAGATCCCACTCCTGCAACTGCATTCAGCATTGTTTTGGGGGCAGAGGGCTGTCTGTGGCAGCTCCACCCATGTGGCAGATTTCTGCTTGGTGTGGAAACTGCTGCGACCCCACAGCTCTTGTGCCCTTTGTGCCCACATGAGGACCACATGGCTATCATCAGTGCTCACTGCTTGCACCCTCTGGAGTGGTGGTCTGAAGCACACCTGCACCCAAAGGAACCACAGCACAGTGCTGCCATAAACCTTAGAGTACGCTGAGCCTCGGTCTGCTGGGCCAACTCTGCACCCAGGGATGCGCAGTCAGTCTCAAGGCAGCAATGCTAGCACATCCGGATCACCCCAGGCTGGTTCCCCAAAACCATTCTTCCTCCGCGCCTCTGGACCGGTGATGGAAGCAGTGATCACCAGATCTCTAAGATGCTTCTGAGGCCCTGATCTGCCATATACACTGCATCCATTCTAATCTCTTCAGCAAGACTGGGCCACACATATAATATTCTGCCCTGAAAATGCTCTGCTTCTCCAAAGTGTGGTCAAACTGAGAGTTTTCTAAATATTTTGCATTGTCACCCTTTGACTATAAATTCTGTTTTTAAGTCACTTTTCCCTTTCTCAGCTTAATGTAAGCAGTTAAAAGTAACTGTACAGTTCCCTAAATGCCTGCCATTTAGATACTGCTCCTAGCAAATATTTTATTTCATTGTTTCCTCCCCCCACCCAAGTCCTGGAAATTGAACTCGGGGCCTTTTCCCTGAGCCCCTAGCCCACCTCCTCTCTTTTTGGAGAAGGTTCTTGCCAAGTCACTAAGGTGTCCAGGTTGGTCTCGAACTTGCAATTCCAGAGTGCTGGAATTATAGGCGCACTCTACCACACACCTGGTCCAGTGCTATGGAAACTGCCCAAATCTCAATATCAAATGACTAAAAAATGAGAACTTATTGATATATATAATTTAAATGTCTAGATACATGCAGCTTCCAGTACGACTGGATCCAAGAGCTGCAAAGATGACCAGAAGAGTGCCATACCCTGTGCCTTGGTGTTGGCCGCGTTGTCAGGCTGACTCCTCACTGCTGGGTAACAGCTGCCACCAGCAACTCCGGCTTGGCACGACCACTGCCCAGCATTGCAGGAGAGAACTGTGCCTCAGGTGACTAGCCCAGGAAAAGCACACATTGCAAAGAAGTTTCTCCTCAACACACACTGCTCTCACATCATCAAGGAAGTACAATATTGTCAGTCAAGCCATGATAGGCCTGTTTGTGTATGAAAAATACTCTTGAAACAAATGTCAAAATAAAAACATTGGAGCTAAGCCTTGTGGCTCAACTCAACTTGTGGCAAAGTGCGAAGCAGAAATACAAGGCATACAGATTAGACAGGGAGAAACGAAACTGTCTCTGTGCCCAAGGGATACAACTTTTTATGTAGAGCATCCAACAAATTTATAAAAATAGAAACAAAATAAAAACTCCTCCAAGAACTAACAAAGGACATTTTTGATGTTTCAGGAAACAAAAATGGCAGATGTAAATCCAACTGTATCAATAATAATAGTGAATTTAATGGATTAAATGATCCAGTCAGTAATCAGAGCTCTTCAGATTTTCAAAAACCAAAATCCATGCTACTATAAGTAGAAAAACATGTGAGATTCAAAGACACAAAAGAAAATGGTGAAAAATGATGTGTCGTGCAAACACCAACCACAAGGAAACTGGAGGAGCAACAGGAATGTCAGATAAAATAGAGTTTGGGAAAATGTTACAATGATGAAGAGAGACATCATAAAAGGATCAATCCACCAGAATCTATAGCAATGAACATATATAAACATACCCAGCAATAGAGTACCAAAGTTTATGGGACAAAGCTGGGGGAAATGAGCAGAGACTTAAACAAATCCACAGAAACAGTTGGAAACATTAAAACCTTGCTTCCAATAATGAATAGGTAGAATATCAACAAGAAAATAGATTTGATGACGCTGTAATTCAACTAAAATAATAGACATCTGTTGAACCAACCACCAACAGGATACACATTTTTCTCAAGGGTATATGAAACATTCTCCAAGGTAGATCATAGGATATAAAACAAACCCATACAAAGTTAAGAGAATTGAAATGTCAGATATTTGTCCTAGTAATGAGGAAAGTGACCAAAACAGTAATGTCCCCTCCTCTTCAGTGGTGGGATGGAACCCAGGGCCTCACACAGACTAAGCAAGCGCTCTACCACTGAGCTACACCCCAGTAATACACTTTTAAATAACCAAAATCACACTTTTAAATCATCAATGTGACAAAGAAGAGATCAAGGGAAAGTTAATTTTTTTGAGAGCAAAATAAAATAAATACATAATAATTATTAAGTTATTAGATGCAGCAATTAGAAATTTATATATGCAAATAATTACAATAAATGAAGAGGTAGCTTGAATAATCTAAGTGGTTTAAACTATAGGAATCTAATTCCCCTATGAGAGCTTTCTTCACCTTCTTGCTGGATTTTTTTGCATGAGAGGAGGTGGATGGAGGGAGGAAGCAGGGGAAGGGAAAAAAGAGAGGGAGAAACAGACAGACACAGAGACAGAGACAGACTGAGACAGAGAGGCTCTCTTGTTGCTTTTCCTCTTTTTATGTGGACCTAAGGCTCCACTCTCACGACCTCATCTAACCCTATCTACCCCGCAAAGCTCCACGCGATTAGGGGGTCTATGAATTCATACAAACTTGATGAAAGGGCACAAACGTGTAATCCATAACACGTTTTAAGACCCTGGAAAAGTTTTTAAAAGAGCAAGTCTAAACCATGAAGAAAAAAGGCAATAACAAAAGTTAGAGTGAAGATTAATGAAAGAATAAGAAACAGAGAAAAATTTAAAAATCAAGCATTGCTTATTTTATTTTATATTTTTGGCAGGACTGAGGATTGAACTCAGGGTCTTCATGCTGGGTTACATTCACAGCCTTTTAAAAATTTTTTAAATTTTAAGACAGGGTCTTGCTAGGTCTTTTAAATTGTCTAGCCTGGCTCAAACTTGTGATCTCCCTGCTTCAGCCTCCCAGAGTGGTGGGATTAAAGTTGTGCACCACCAGGCTTGGCTTGATCAACAAAACCGATAAGCTTTCAGCTAAACCATATGAAAGAAAAAAATAAGACAGAATCAAAAATGGAATTGGAGACATTACTATTAACTTCACAAAACTCAAAATCACTATAAAGGAATACTATGAGCAATTGTAAAACAATGGATCTTGTAACTTAGTTCATATCTTAGTCTATTTTATGTTGCTATAACAGAATACTTGAGATAAGATAATTTATAAACAGAAGAAATTTACTTTTCACCACCTTGGAGGCTTGGA